ATTATAATCTCAAGCTTAAATAATTATAACATATAGGTATTATAGGTAGATAAAATCTATACGAAAATTAATTAGACTTAGTTGTTATCCGTGACTTTATCTTTCTAAAATACCTCGTACCTAGTAGCCTGGGGAAATATGTCCCAAAAGATGAATTCTTGAGAGTACATTAATTAAACACATCCCTTACGTAAGCGCGGTGAACTGAACAATGTTGCTAAGGCAGCCACTTTCCCGGCCCATCATTATAATGCTAGTGTGGGGAGTTATGCCGAAATTACGAGCTTCCCTTTCATTTAATAGTACACTGATATAGCGTTGGTATTCGAAATACATATTAATCTATCAAACAGTGTTGCCATTTTAACCACATTTTTGCTAAATCTGATAACTTCAACCGACTTCAAAGAGAAGATAAGATTTCAATTCGGTTACTTCATAACTGTGTCAGTTATAAACCGATTTAGAAAATTCTTTTTTATTTGAAAGGATATACTTACAAATTGGCCCCACAGCAATTTCTTTCAATCAACCTTTGAAAAGCTGAAAGAAAACTATAGAATATTCTAGGGTAAAAACCGTACAACTAAAGATAAAACTAAATAATACCTAATTAAAATGAAACATAGACAATAATAAGTGCCTAACTGTATATTGGCTCAATGAAGTAGAAGTTTCAGAATAAAATTATGTAATAACTGGTTTAAAGGATTTTAACGATTGTCCCATTGTTAATGTATCATTAATTAAAGATAATAAATTTATTGAAAAACTAGTTATTTTATTGTTAAAAGTTTCGTGAGTACATATTATATTTTAATAATAATTAATAATTTATTAATAATAAAAACTTCTACTATTGTAATAATAATCAGTTAAACTTGTGCTCATGTTACATACGCTCATGACTAAGAGTCACGGATGGTTCCGAAACTAGCCGAGCTTTTTCGATTAAAATACATGTGAGTTAAACTGGTCGTTATTACATTCAAATAGAAAATTTAGTGACAAAATTATTACATATTAAGCCTCTAAATAGACATAATCAGGTATATTATATATAGGCATATTGTGGGTAATACAAAACAGATAATTGTTATATCTAATAGACAATAATATATATATATATTTACAATATCAATAAAGATTATAAATCTCTAGAAACTATATCTAAAATAGAGATATTTCTATTTAGAGAACAATCGGTCTCGTTGATTGTGCAAATGTCAAAAAGCAAACATGCAAATATTCCCTCCCGAGTCTCCTGCCTACCCAAACTTCGACACTCAATCACCTTCTGAACTTTCAATGGTTGAATCTTTGAGCGATAATACTCAAAGAACGAGGCAAACTCCTAATAACTTAGAAGTATTAATCCATAAAATATATAAGATCTATAGGATCCCGAATCGTATTCACCTAGGTTTTTACGATTTCATTTATGCATCGTGCTGTCAAGCTTTTTGGAGTTCCTTAACCAAATTACCGCGACGAAATTATAAAAGATGAAGCTAAAAGACAGTTTGATAGGTTCTTAGACGGTTATGATGTTACCATTAACTTTATCTCTCGGTTCTGCCCACGTAAATAATAATAACGTATATCGAATATTTTCACAAAATTTCTTTTAATGCATTAACACGTTTATACATAGTTAAGCAACAAACAGGTGAACAATCCAAATAAATAACTGTTGGGATTTATAATTCCAGAACATTCATCCATATGAAAATACTAATGAGAATTCAAATAACTCATAATTAACATTTTAAGCTGAGTTACATCAAATATATACTCGTATTATTGTATCAGTCGTTAACTGACATAGGCCTTCCTCATAAGGGGAGTTTTGTAGGTGCCATGCTTGGCAAGCGGGTTAGCAACTGCAGTCAGGCTTTTGGTGTTGTTTAAAGCATTGTTCAGATACGCTGCTGACTATCTCTCGACCATAAATCTTCTAAGTTGCCTCTTACGGCACCCACGGGAAAGGAAGAGGTGGCCCATTCTATACCGGGACCGACACGGCGATATATGAGTACTTGTACGTAGAATAAATACGTCTAAGAGTCTTTATAAATATCTAAAATGAACTTGTGTGCGTTATTTGTAGAAGCAGGAGCCACAGATTACATTTTCGCTGTGATCTCCCTAAATAATCCTCTTGGGTGTATTATTCTATGCTAACGCAAAACGAGTGTGCTCCTGAATATTGGGGCTGAAGGTCTTTCGTCGCCATTTAGATTTCGAGCCTTTCAATAGGATTTCTACTTCATTGTGCTGTACCTTATTGTACATAAACGCTATCTATAGCATATAGTCCTTTCATAAGCATTTATTGTGAAACGGTGTATTTTTTAATTAAATTTGAACTAGTATTTAGCTGTGACGTTGTCCGCTCCACGTGACCGAGATAATAATGTGTGTCTTTCTACATCGAAATGATATATGTATACTAAATTTTATGACAATTCTTTGAACTGTTAAGAAGCTAAGATGTAATAATTAAATAATGTCTTATACTTCTGATACAGTTAATTATTTGATATAGTAATAACTTACATATTTATTATATGTATATATATATATATATATATATATATATATATATATATATATATATTCATATATATTACCTAATAGTGTTTATATTAGTCTAATTATATGTTTATAATATATGAATATATTAAGTATAGCTTTATATTTCCTCAATTCATGAATTCACCGCCTATCTATTTCTCTGTTTACCCAATGGTTGACTGGTAGAGAACACCGTCCGGTATTGTGTCAGCCGAATGTACATATATTTTCACTGTGCATTAAAGTTTGAATAAATAATGTATGTAACAAACAAATAAACTTACATTCAAAATTATAATAAAAATAAAATCATGCTGTCTCTGTGTTCGTTCAGGAAAGTGTGGTCACAGGTCACGCTATAATAAAAAACAATATTATAATTAAACATAAATATTATGAAATAGGATAATGAGTATAGATTAGGTATTTTAATAGAAAAACAAAATATAAAGGACAATAACAACACATAAATATAAAAATACGGGAAAATTGGTTTTTATATTTGCCTGTATTTTTTGTATATTTCTGTTGTATTGAAAGTCGCTTAAATATATAACTGTTTTGCAACTTCCATTACAGTCCTGTTGTAAATTGATGTTATTTCATTACGAACCAAAAAGTATTTATTGACGTATTTTTTTATTAACGAAGCAATTTCGACTTACAAAGTTGAAAGGATCAATCTTTCGACATATTTATATTGCGACATAATCGCATTACGCAATTAATTATGAAAACGTAATACTCACTGTAAAATACCTACTTACGTCAACATTTCCCTGTATTCTGTTTTCTTAATTAATTCTTTCCAAGAATTTAATTTGTTACGGATCTGAACTTTTTTGACTATTTTTTCAACATAAATATTAGCACCTCTTGATGGAAGGTGTAGTTATGGTCAAAAGAATTAAAAGAATCACAGGATATGTAAACTGTGCCACTCAGTTATATAAGCCCAAAAACCTGGCTTTCCCACACAAGTATTCGATATAATTCACTTAATATAATAAATGCGAAAGATTGTAACGATGAATAGGTAGATGGATGTTTGTCACTCTTTCACGCAAAAATTACTAAACAGATTTGAATAAAATTTTGTACACACGTAGATCATATTCCAACTTAGCGCATAGTATATGCTATATGCACTAATTCACGCGGGCTAAGTCATGAGATAAAGCTAGTACATAACACATGATTGTCTATGTTATACTTCCATTCAGACCATGTTTAAATTTTTGTACGGTAATTTATTATAATACTAATTTTTAGCCACAACTTCACCGTTCTATATTAAATGACCGAGATAAAAAGTAACCTATGTCCTTCCCCATCCCATATAGAACGTAGTATATGAAATTTCAAAAATTCGTAACGATCGGTTAAGCTGTTAAGATGATAAGAGGTAATAAATAAACAAACTCACTTTCTCATTAATAACATTAATCGGTTTTAATTTTAAGGACTTACGAAAATTGCAAATTTAATCGCCACTCACAAAATATACGCTCTAATTAAAGATATTTTCAAATGAACATCAAATGCTACATGTTTTAAATTTGTTACGCTTAGTTACATTCCTATGAAAGTTATTAGGTAGAAAGTCTATATGGTCCCATTTCGTACGGAAATAAAAACTCACATCACAAAGGAACTCAATTTAATTCAATTACGTTGACATTTGATATATCCACTCTCCCGGTCCAAATTTTATGGTTTCGACGTGATACATTAACTGAGTCTGTTTTCTGTACATAAAGAAAATGTCTTATAAATTATTTAGATTCTGCTCTACAAAAAATACTAGCTCGTGACTAAATCAATATAAAACCAATACTAGAATAAACCCTGAATTATCAAAATTAGTTCACACTTATATACTAGATAATGCATACGAATTGAGAATATGGTTTCCAATCTTGAATCAAAATATCCATCTTTTTTGGTCAATTTGGTCAGAAATCAGAAAGTCTCGGACAGCTCGTTCGTAAGATCTAACACACAAAAATCTACCTGATTCTTCAATTGACGCTAGAAAAATCTACAAAGGTTTATAAATTATTTCTAAAAAAGGTAACATATGACACGTTACCTTTTTTAATTTGATGAAGATGATGAAATTAAAACCACACAAAACGGGGCTATGAATAGGTTTATAATAGTATTTAGAATAGGTTTTATAACGTGTACGAAGAAAGAATTTTTTGAAATTTTTGTGCAAATGCAAAAAAGTAAGGAGGCAATAGCTATATAACTGGATAGATTAAACTCCTTCTGGCCATTTTAGTATCGGCCTGTCTTAATAAATTCAATTCAATTAATTAATACAACTACAATTTTTGGGATAATATAGTTTAACACTAACTCTATAATATTTTAAGACTATAATATTTTGCTACAATACAATATTTCATTTGTTTCAGGGCAATAAGAGGAATCAAAAACACTCAACATATAATTCTCATAGCCGTCGTGAAGAAAAGGTAAGTACCCAATACATATTTCATCACCATTCTTACAACCTACTCTGATAAAAAATTAACATATAAATATTTAACATTAAAATCTTCTTTTTTTCGATAAGAACATATTTACAAATTGTACCAAGTATAAAAAAATACATCATAATACACCTACACACTGACAATACTTCTCGATACTGTTTAACGTGGGGAAAGAAGTTCATGATTAATTGAATTTGTCAATTCCACAAGGTAATTCTGTAGAGTCTCTCGAGAATAGGTAGGTTAAAGTTAAAGCTGATTGTATTGAATAACTTTTATTTTGTAGATATTCCATTCGAAGTTGAATTTCAATCAACTTTTAGGCTTCCAGTCTACGATGCAAATAAACTGTTTCCATTTAAAGTTCGACGTTTTGCTGTATTAATTCCTGTTAGTATTGTCCTTCAGGTTTAATTTCTCTGCTAACATTTGCGTGATTCGGTCCAAATAAAACGCGAGATTGTTGACCGCGGACGTCATTGTTACGTCAGCCGAGTTCTAGAGTCTGAATAGTGTTGTCTTACAATCGATTATCGATAGAGGTCATTCGGATTAATGGAAATATCGATTGGCGTATTGACAGAATCAAGAATCAATGTAAAAGATTGAAGTAATTTAATCGATCGCGATATGCAGTAATATTGGTAATAATTGTTGTATCGGTAGCAAATTCAAAACAATAGTATCTATTAATATTATTCTTGTAGTTTCTATCAATTTTATGAGTTATATCATTCAATCCACTATGGATTTGGAGGCATAATACCAGGTTCCTCAAGAATAGTAACGCAAGAAGGTTACTATGGTAGTCATATTGTATTATGTAATAGTCATCGTGATATTTATATCTATAGGCGAATCCATCAGGTGGGTCGTTACTTGTTTGCCATACATGTTAATATCATAAAAATCATAAAAAAGATAATCATCGTCAATTATAATAAATTTTATTGTTAATAGTTTCGTAAGTACATATTATAATCAGTTTCTTGCTCATGTCATAACTGCTCAAGACTAAGGGTTCCGAGTGGTCCTGAAACTAGTCGAGCTTTTTGGACCAAATTACACGTATGTTAAACCGGTAGCTATTACATTAAAATGTAATGAATTTATTGTGTATAATCGATTATATTGTATCATTGTTTATATGTAATTATTGATTTATTTCATTTTTTTTTTTTCATTGGTTTCATTGGTTTATCGATTTATAATCGATTCTCAACGATTAAAACAACACTAATCAAGACCAAATTATCTAAAGTTCTCTGTTTATCCGAGCTTTATATTAATATAATGGTTAAGAGTAAACTTGTTGTTGATGGTTTTACTGCATTTAAGACAGTTTATAATGTCAATGGATTTCAAATTGTACAGAAGGCCAAGTTATCTTATCTTATCACTTTTTTATCATTCGACCAAGAGATTCAGTGGTAAATGTAAGTAAAAATTTAAAACCCCATGACCAAATTGAAAAATATTCATTAAACATACCTAAAAGCCATCTTGATTAAAAATCGCCTCGACAGATGCCACAGAATGAAAAATCAAATTTCTGATAGCCTTAACGAATGTCGACCAATTTTTTGTGTCGAGAAATAAAAATATATGATCATAAAAATGTCATATATTTATTTTTTTACATTCTTAGCAAAATGTGGTTTATTGAGTTATTAATTGACAAATGCTTTGACTACCCTATTAGGAAATGTAATCGTAAGCATATTTATTTATTTCATTTATGTTCTATAGTCTTCCTACTCTTCTAAACAACTAGTTAAGGCAGATTAAAATCTTATTAATATAATAAAATTGTAACTGGACGATGTCTATACATGGGAAATGTTTATGAGGGGGCCTTAATAAGGGCAATAGAGGCCAAAACATTTTTTATATAAATTTTGTTTGTCAGTCTATCTCTATATTTGTTTCGGCAACACGCAAAAATTTTACACAAAATTGGACTCGGCTTTTGCAGTTGTGATCCTGAAGGTTACACCTTCAACGTACTAAGTTGCCTGGAAGAAATTGCTATTTAACGATAAGGCCGCCCATTGTTGCCTCTTTGTTTTGCTTTTATGTAATTAAGTTTACAAATTATTCATTTTGTTTATGTACAAATTTATAATCTTTATAATCTGTATCATTCTTTAAAGGGATCAATAAAGAATTTTCATTCGTTCATTTATTAAAAATATAAATTACATATAGCTAGTATATGTCTTATCTTGATGCGCCATCTAGAAATGGTCATTGGTTTTCTTACTTCTGAAATCCACACATACGAAGTAGGGGCTAAAGGCTAAAAGTGTATGAATAATTATGATCGTTTCTCATGAAAATAATTTCATCTGAACTATTCTCAGTATTATCTTTTGCCGATGAGCAAACAAACTAGCGTAACTAAACCGCAAATTGAATCTACTCCACTGAAGTCAAAATCAAACAACTTGCAAAAGGATAAAGGGTTGATAAGATTTGTAAATCTTTGTGTACAAAGCTTCGGATACTAGTGTACTACTTATGCTTGAGGGAGCGGTCCTCGTAAAACAGGCAACGTCAACATTTTCCGCCTTCCTTACAAACGGCTCGAACATAAATCTATATTAAAATTTAAATAAAAAGATACTATTCAATTCATTGATAAGTTAGGCTGCATTCATATATATATATATATATATATATATATTATGGAATGGTAACCCCACCCGTGCTGTCGGTATACACCGGCGGGGTACCAGTGAAGGATGATAGGCGAGGATGAAGCAGGTCAGTTAGCCCATCGTGACGAATTTAACAAGAATTGTTCGCGATGGTTTCCAGGGGGAACCACGTAGACCAGATAAACCAGATAGGTCGACCAGATAGAGCATGTTGCTAGCAATGAGACTGTTAAACTCCATTGCTAACAACCCCTTTTCCCCAATATATATATATTGAAACCGTGTTGTCCCAGCATAGAATGGCCACTGCTTTTTTTCTCGTGAGTGTCATAAGAGGCGACTAAGGGAATTTAATGGTCAAAAGATAGACAACAGCGTCTCTCTTAAAACATCACCAAAGCGTCACTGTGGTTGTCAGCGGCGTAACAATTATTGGCAAATCTTCCTTAATGGGGAGGCCTATGTACAGCAGTGGGCAGTTGAAAGAACTGAAAAGAATTGATGATGACAATATTTATGTCAAAGATATATATTTAGTTGTCTGCCCATAAAGAAATATAAAAAAATAGTGCACTACTGAAGTGCAGCTTATTATACATATTCAATTATGTGCTATGTAACTCCAAGCTACATAATCATACTAAAATTTGTATTGCTGCAGATCACACATAATAACACAATTTTATAAATCTTATGTTGTTTTATGTATTATCTATTCTTATGTACATGTTGTGTGTGATTAATAACAAACAAATAAACGATATATCTATCTATCTATCTATCTAAAATTGCTTCTATAGTGTTTTACTCGTAGTACTTATAAGACATCCAGCATGTTACAATGTTGTGAAATTTTATGACCTAGTATACAAGGATTATTTTTATAGTGTAACATAGTCCTCGTACTCATGTAACGCTATAAACTTAAAAGCTGTTTATTTTTATAGCAATCAATAACAAACGTTAATACTATTATCATCATGGCTTATATTCAGCCGTTAGACATAACAGCTGTTATGATGATATGATAAGTAATATCATAGTTCATCATATCAGCCCTTAACTGTCCACTGCTGAACACAAGCCTTCCCCAGAAAGGGAGTTTTGCCAGTAGTTGCCACGCTTGGCAGGCGGGTTGACAACTGCAGTTAAGCTTTTAGTGATGTTTTAAGAGGGATGCTGTTCCATACTTCGCCCTCCCTTAGTCGCCTCTTACGACACCCACGGTAAAGGAAGGGGTAATAGGGGATAGGTAGGGGTAATTTGTATCCCACAAAATATTTCAAAAGAAACTACAGAAAACTCCACAATAGCTAGAAATAAAATTAATAAAAAATGAAGCACCATTTATATGACTAGTAACTTGTTGTTAATAAGTTATAATAAATACCATTCGTCGATTGTTCCGAAGAACAACTCTTAGCGAAGTTAGTTATTATTTGCGGCAAGTTATAAAGTGGCAAACATACTGCTCTACCCTACTATAGTAGTTCATCAATCGGAAGGCATACAATTCCACAGACAACAATTTCTTCTAATGCTTGTTCTTGTATTGAGAAATTGTTATGAAGTTTTGCTATACAATGTATTTTCACTCGGCAAATATAAAGCAACGAATGGTTTGTATACATATGAATATAAGTAAATAATTTTAGACTTCAATAACTTAACTGAATCTTTTACAATTTTATCGTTTTGACTATTTATATGTATACTTATTTAATATGTGATAATATTTGCCACCTTTAGTGGTATAAAAAAACATTTTATGCACACTATTCTTTTATGGGTTCCTTTCTATGACATACCTGTAGCAAAGGTGTCGTACGGAAGGTGGATCTTGATGGCTTCTTGTGGGCGTTTCTATTATGAAGACGGTTAAAAAAATACGACTTAGGGATGTAATAACGTAATATATTAGTAAACTATTTCCCAAATAAATTTATATTGAAAAACTACAAAAATATATCCTCTAACCCCTCTAGGCTGGGGGGAGTGATTGTTAGTAATGCGGATTACAGGTCGACCTCCATGCGGTCCCCCCTGGAAACCATCGTGCTGAATTCCAGGTGTATTTATCACGATGAGCTAACCTACCTGCTCTTTCATTTTCCCTTATCATCCCTCAGTGGTGCCCCCCGGTGTATACCAATAATGCAGGCGCGGTTGCCATTCCATTATCATCCATTAAAAAACCCCTCTAGGCTAAAAGAGTTAGAGTTATATCAATATGTTGAATCCATTTGTTAAAATAGTACCTATCGTCATCCTAAGGCTACTTCAACCAATTCTTTGCAGTAGGACCCTTTAATTTTCTCC